CCTAAAGACCCTCCGCTTCTTCATGTTCCGCAGGCCCTCCACTGACACCCTCATCCGCTTAGCTGAACTCGTCCTCACCCTCAACAACTTCTCTTTCAATTCCTCCCACCTTCTACAGGCAAAGGGGGTGGCCATGGGTACCCACATGGGCCCAAGCTATGCCTGCCTCTTTGTAGGTTACATGGAACAATCCCTCTTCCGTAGCTACACTGGTCCTCAACCCGACCTCTTCCTCCGTTACATTGATGACTGTATCGGCGCCACCTCGCGCTCCCACCAGGAGCTCAAACAGTTCATCCACTTCACCAACACCTTCCACCCCAACCTTAAGTTCACCTGGACCATCTCTGATACCTCTCTCTCCTTCCTGGACGTCTCTATTTCCATCTCTGGCAACCACCTCGAAACCGATATCCATTTCAAGCCCACCGACTCCCACAGCTACCTGGAATACACCCGGCACTGTTCCCTGCAACGGCAGGAAGTGCTACACCTGCCTCTACACCTCGCCCCTCACCCCCATCCCAGGCCGCAAGAAGACTTTCCACATCAAGCAGATGTTCACCTGCACATCTGCTAATGTGATATACTGTATCCGCTGTTCCCGTTGTGGCCTCCTCTACATCGGGGAAACCAAGCAGAGGCTTGGGGACCGCTTTGCAGAACACCTACGCTTGGTTCGCACTAAACAACTGCACCTCCCAGTCGCGAACCATTTCAACTCCCCCTCCCATTCCTCAGACGACATATCCATCCTGGGCCTCCTGCAGTGCCACAACGATGCCACCCGAAGGTTGCAGGAACAGCATCTCATATTCCGCTTGGGAACACTGCAGCCCAATGGTATCAATGTGGACTTCACAAGCTTCAAAATCTCCCCTCCCCCTACCGCATCCCATAACCAGCCCAGCTTGTCCCCGCCTCCCTAACCTGTCCGTCCTCCTCCCACCTCAAGCCCCACCCCCATCTCCTACCTACTAACCTCATCCCGCCTCCTTGCCCTGTCCGTCCTCCCTGAACTGACCTATCTCCTCCCTAACTCCCCACCTACACTCACCTTTACTGGCTCCATCCCCGCCTCTTTGACCTGTCTGTCTCCTCTCCACCTATCTTCTCCTCTATCCATCTTCTATTCGCCTTCCCCTCTCTCCCTATTTATTTCAGAACCCCCTTCCCCTCCCCCATTTCTGAAGAAAGGTCTAGGCCCGAAACGTCAGCCTTCCTGCTCCTCTGATGCTGCTTGGCCTGCTGTGTTCATCCAGCTCTACAACTTGTTACCTGATAAGGTCCTGTGTTGACTTTATCCACAGCTGAATACCGGGGAAACATGGACTGGTACTGACATGGGAGTGACAACGCGAAACTGAAACAAAACCCAACGCGTTCACAGAACTGGCAGCTTTCCACGGACGGTGAGCAGTCAGTTTTCGTCTAAGTGGACCCCGATGAGGTTTCGGGAAGAAAATTCGGAATAAAAGCAAAAACGTATGCAGCCAAGAAATGTGAAATAAGACCAAAGAGTGCGAGAAATGCTCAGCAGGCATGGCTGCATTTGTGTATGGAGAAACCGAGTCAGCTTTTCGAGTGGGATGTGGCAGAAATCTGGAAACTCTTTCCGGAACATAGCAACTTATAAATCGATATGTTTCCATTCTGATGTGTGCGTTTGGAAACCCGGAAATGTTTGTTAAAGTGAGTGCTGATGGTTCAGTAGCTCGCATTCGATTTTAACACATTCTCTGATTTGAGACCAAAAATATACAGCGTGCAGCGTTTTATTTACCTTCCGCCGAATATTCAAATTGCCTTCAGTCATTTGCAAACATTTATTTCAGAGCGAAAGAGAATGCGATAAAGCAAAATAAAACCAACGCAGTGAATGATGTCAACTGTAACGTAAAAATTTACTTCCCTGACCGGGAATCGAACCCGGGCCGCGGCGGTGAGAGCGCCGAATCCTAACCACTAGACCACCAGGGAACGATACTAAGCTTGTGAATATTATCCTCATACATGTTCAGAAATAATTGTGTTGATGTAAAATTTTTCCAATACTGTAGAACAAAACAGCGAAGGAACAGACCCTACGGCATACCATGCCTGTGCTGACCATGATACCATTCTAAACTGATCCCATCTTTTTGCTTTTTGTCTGTTTATTTCTGAGGGTCAAACATATTTAACAGCTCCGTTCTCTGCAGATCCATTTTAACCAATACCACAATATCTCTTGCTTTCTGACGAAGGATCTGTTGGACAACAACTGGTGTCGTGTGATTTTTGACTTTGTCCACCGCAGCCGAAAACCAACGCCTCCACATCATCTCTTATCCTAGCAATGTCTTTTTTTTCTTTTTCAGTTTATGCTCCAACACCTTTTGAATGACATAATTGAATCCATCTTCATTACGCTCTGGCAGTGTAGTCTAGGTCTTAACAACTCTCCGCAATTAATGAAATGGTTTTTAACATGTCACAATTTCTCAATTTCGAGAGTGCTCCCAGCCTACACGAGACCGTGAAGTAAGCTACCTCTTTGCTGGGGAAAGTAAAACCGAAATTTCTTTGCACATTTTATCGGCAAGAACGAGAAAATCATCAGCCATCTGATCGTGGCTAGAGGATTTAAACATTTCTGTGTTCATTTAGGGTTGTTTTAGTTCCAATTTTCTGTATTTTGGGTGGAGGTCCACAGAACTGAAAGTGGCCCATCGGCCCATCGTGCTATGTCTGTCATCAAACATTGATCTACTCTAGTGCTATTTTCCTGCTCTTGACCCCTAGCCTTGCCTGCAATAACGCATTTTTTGTCATCTAAATATTTGTCACACGTTGTGCTGGTTCCCAACACAAAACTTCAGGCAGTGAGTTCCAGATATCCAACACACTCTGGGTGAAAAAAAAAGCCTTCTTTTAATCCCCTTGATACTTCCTGCACTTTACCTTGCTTCTGTGCACCTTCACTAATGGCTCGGCTACTAACAGAAAGCATTTCTTCCTTTCTGCCCTATCAACGCCCCTCATAACTATGTACCCGTCAGACTGGTCGTCCTCTCTGCTCTAATGAAAACAATTCAAGCTTATCTGCTTTCTTTTCAGAACTGAATGTTCCAGCCCAGTCTTGGCAACTGTCTTCTGCACTCTCCTATATGCTGTTACATTTTTTCTATCGCATGGCAATGAGAACTGCGCACAACTTCAGCTGTCACCTACTTATCATGTTATACAGCTCCATCATAAATTTCTTGCTGTTGGATACAATGTCTTGACTAATAAATACAGGTATTTCATATGCCTTCTCAACTACATAAACTACCTGTCCTGTTGTTTTCAAGGAGCTGTGGATATGTACACCAAGATCCCTCTGACCCTCTGTAATTTCTAGGGTCCTACCATCCAACCTGTACTCCCTTGCCTTGTCAGACCATCCAAATGCGGCATCTCACACTTCTGCAGATTAAATTCATTTCACACTGTTCTGCAATCTCAACACCCACCCCCACATCTGACCACCCCATCTATATCATCCTGCAGCCTAAGTTTGTCCCCCTCACTATTTAGCACACTGCACAATTTAAAGTCATCTGCAGACTTACTGATTAAGCTTGATTTCATGTTTAGGTCACTTACTATACACTAGAAAGAGCAAAGATTCAAGCGCAGAACACTTCAGTATGCATGTTTCGGGTCCAGTGACCATTCCTCAGAATGGGTCACCAGACCGGAATTTTAACTCTGTTTTTTCCTTCACAGATACTGCCAGGCCTGCTGAGCTTTTCCAGCAACTTTGTTTTTGTTCCTGATTTACAGCATCCGCAGTTCTTTTGGTTTTTTTTACACTTTAGTATACACTGGACTCAGGTTTCTACTCACAAAACAACTTTTGATCATTACACTTTGCTACCTGTCACTAAGTCAGTTTTGGATCCAATTTGCTAAACTGTTCCCATCTCATGGATGTTTGCTTCTTTACTGGTCTCAGTGTGAGGCCCTGTCAAAAGCCTTATGAAGTCCTTATTGATGACATTCAACATACCATTCTCATAGGCATATCTAGTCATCTCCTTGAAAAACTAAATCAAACTGTCAGACATGATCTCCAATTGACAAATCCATACCGAAAATCCTTGATTTATTGTTACCTCTCCAAGTGGAGAATAATTTGACCCTCCCTCAGATATGTTTCTGATAATTTCCTACATGGATGTTAATCTTTGGCCTATCGTTCACTGGTTTATTCCTGCCATCCTTCATAAGGAATGATACAACATTGGCTGTCCTTCAGTGCTCTGGCATGTCTGCTGTGCATAGAGAGGATTTGAACACTTATCTCCTCTCTGCCTCCCACAGCATCTTGGGACACATTGTATCTGGGCCTGAAGAATTTATCAAACGTTAATCTCACGAAGGACGATAATATCAGAGCCCTTTCAAATGCAATTTGTCCAAGTATATCACAGTCCTCTTCCCTGATTTCTAAACTTATATAGTTCTACTCTATCATTCATCTCTATCATATACGGGATTGAGGGTACTGTACTGACAGGGACAGAGAACTAATGGCAGACAGAAAACAAACAGTAGGAAGAAATGGATCTTTTCTGAATGGCAAGCAGTGATGAGAGGGGTTACCACAGGGATCGGTGCATGGACTGCAGGTATTCAGGATATATAAGTACATATTCAGATGTGAAAAATAAATGTTCTATCACCACATTTGCCAATCATACAAAGCTTGTAAATTATTGTTTGTGTTCTCCATGCCCGCTCTTAGTTTATGTAATTTTATGCTGATAAATTAAAGCTTGTATTTACGTATATTCCTTATGTTGGATGTTTCAGTTCACGTTCAGTAGTATTGTCCATTTTGCGATTGCAATACCATCCATAAACACCCCAACACGCCTTTGATTGACAGCTCCCTCTTGTTTCCAGGGCAGCGTTTCCCCAGCCCCGTGAGACGTCATTCCGTCACACACGGATGCGCGCTGACGTCCCTTCCGTTGCCAATGGAGGATGCTGCAAGAGTCCGCTGTTCTTAAACGGCGTTGCTCTAGTAACAGGCCCAAACCGTCCCGGAAAGCGAATCGATGTTGGTGGTAGTGTCAGGGATCCCCAGGGACGAGGCCTCCAGAAAGAGGTGCTTTCTGCCATCCGGGGAATGAACTGGGCACCTCGTCCTGCGTCAGGATCCGTGACGGCCGCCATAGCAGTGCCTCCCCGTCCTCCGACTCCAGGTCCAGGCGTTGACCAATTATCCTCGGGGCTATGAGGTTACAGTGGCTGAGGGCGGTGTTGGCAGGACCAGCAAGAAGATCTTCAGCCCAGCGGGTCCAGCCTGTTGCACCATTTAGTGGCGTCGTTACTGATCATTGATTCAGCTCCATCCACGAAACCTCCCAGACTCAGACCCGGGGGGAGAGGTGGAGAGAACTGGACTGCGAGTTCCCTGGGGCCTCTTACTCGTGATTCTACACGAGTTTCCACCCTCCCAGCGCCCGGTGTGCTCTCTCCGCTCAGGCACAGGACTGCTCCGTCTGCCAGTTAAACAGATTGAATTTTGGGCTCCAATGCAATGATGAAGCGCAGAAGAAAGTAATTTGGCCTTTTATACCTGTCCTATCTCTTTGAAGTTAGTCCCACGTCTCTGTCCTATCCTCAAAATCTTGTGAATATTTATCAGCTCCTTTATTTTAATCTACCTTTACATCGTTCTCCACTTTAAAGCTTTGCATGCCAAATCATAAGAACGCGTTGCATATAAAGACTGCACCCTGAATTGATTTTCCAATTCTCTGTTAATCTCCAAATTGACTCTGGCAGTGGGGAAGTTGATTCAGGTGATGGATGAAGGTAATCTTTAAGACTTTTTTACTTTGTTATAAGATTTCTCTTCCTTCATTCAGCAGTGAACTATAAATTTTTGTTAGCATGTTACTTCTACATTAGCTCCAGGTTTGACAACAACTCAATATTTACTTTTCTATCCTCCAATTCAAAGAAATTCAAATTCATATCTCCCTATCTTTGTAAATTCTTTCAGCCATATAACCACTACAGATTCTCTGAGCTTCTCTTATTCTGTTCTTTCACAGTTTATTTTACTTAGATGTTTTGCTCTCAGCTGTCATGGCCAATAATATCTTTGATTTCTTCCTGAATCACCTACTTTAAAAAAAAAATCCATAAAATCTCCAACATTGTCTTTGCACCAAGTTGCTTCTCTTCATAATGTTCACAGGAATTTACAGCATGGAAAGAGACCATTCACTTCATTGTATCTACACTGGTGGACAAGTACCCAGCCAGTCTATAACTCTGTTCTGACTATTGATCTATGGCCTTATAGGTTATCTGTTATCTCCATAGTAATCTACAAATCAAAATAAACAATTTTACATAATGACCCCATCAAAGCAATGAGCAAAATTTCAGTTTTTATAACTTTTCTTTCGCAATCAAACCAAAATCAAAATAATTTTGGTTAATCCATGTAGAATTTAAATATCAAATAAGCAGGCAAATTGCAATGAATATATGTTAGCAATTCATGCAAAGCAGAAAGAAAAATCTCAGGCAGTCAGAAGGCAAACCAGACAAGTAAAGCAAAATCTGACAAGTGTGTGGAAACAGATATGCACTGAAAGTCAACAGATCCCTGATGGAGGTGAGACAGATAGATAAGCTGGGCAGGAAAGTATGGGAAACTTGCCTTTCTTAGCTGAGACACTGATTATAAGAGCAGGGAGTTTAAGCTGGAACTTTATTATTTTCTAGGGATGTGGGCACAATTGGCAAAACCAGCACAATTTGCCCGTCTAATTGCACAGGAGAAGGTGGTGGTGTTCCTCCACATCTGCTACCATTGTCCTTCTTGATGGTAGAGGTCACACATTGGAAAGTTACTGTCAGACCCTGGGTAGGCCACAGCTGGAGTATCGCTTCCTGGTCTATTAACGACCCTTTTGGAAAGGTGTAATAGTACTCCAGAGGGTGCAAAGGAGATTGTCAAGCATGTCATCTGTAATAGAGAATTTAAGCAATCAGGAAAAAAAAAATCAACTGGACAATTGTTGCTTATCTTTGAAATGGAAGAGATGCAGGAGAAACCTAACTAAATTATATAAAAATGAGCAGTGTCTGGAAAGTATGGAAAGAGTGTTCACCTTTGTTGTTGGGCTGGAGATAAATAAGCACGTCATAGTTTTAGGGTAGGAAGTTTACAGGGGATTTAAAAGGAAGGTCTTTGAAGCAACATAACGTGAATCTAGAACTTGCCGCAAAAGAGTGGTCAAAGCAGAAACCTTCTTATTAAATAACTACTTTAATAAGCAGCTTTCATCCCGTAAATGCGATGGGATCTGCAATTTTCAGAATCTAAATGATTAGTGCTGATAGCATGGAGGTGTCCCTGGAGAATATAGCAAGAAGCAGGCAGCACACCTATTTGCGAAAGCTGACCCAAAGGGCCTAGCCCAGCTGGACATCCTGGGGAACCGGGACTCAAAGGTAGAATTGAGTGTTGTTCTGGCTACCATGACTAGTGGAGATTGAGTGTTGACCGTTTTCACTCAGTTCAAGGCAGTTAAGGATTGGCAATAATGCTCACGTCCCAGAATTTGTTCCAGTAATTTGCCTTGTCAGAGTCACAGTGAGGTTAGACCGGCTGGTGTGTAATTTTTTGGTTTGTCTCTTTCTCCCGCATTCAATGATAGTACAAGATGAGCTTGTTTTTGAGTCACTTGAATTGGTCTTGTATCCTGCTTCTCCACCATTGCAAGCTCTACTTCTTTCAGTGTTCACATTTGGAAAAATATAGTATCTCAGCAGTCACTTAAAACCTGAAGTCCAGTTTGGCTATTCACAGCGAAGTGGGCGTAAGTGGCTGGATTGGGAACGAAGGGAAGAGTAGGCTTGAGCGAGCCTGGTTGTCTGGATGGCAATCAACGCAGAAGGTGCTGAGCACTGGAGGCAGGGACAAGGGGTCTTAGTCGACTCAAACACAAGAGAATGCACGATGGGGAGGGAAAATGCAGATGGACAGCAAAAGGGTCCGTGTGGCTGGACAGGGAGGGGAATAGTTTGTGTAAAGCTGAGCGTGTTGGAGTGTGCTTCGGTTGCTTGTCTAAAACTGAAAGATAGGAATGGCAGGATTCAGGAACCATCGATGACAAGGGAAATTATAAACTTAGTCAAAAGGACAAAGGAAGCATATGATAGGTCTAGGCAGCTACAAACTGACAAAGCCCTTGAGATAGAACAATTACAAAGTCTTAAAGGGTACATGAAATGTCTTTAGTAAACAGGGTCAAGGAGAATCCTAAGGCTTTTTATGCATATATTAGAAGAAACAGGGTAGCAAGGGAAAGAGTAGACTCCCTCAAGGACAAAGGAGTGAAGTTATGCATGAAGCCACAGGAAGTGGGAGCTATCCTTATTAAGTACTTTGTATTTGAGTGCGTGAATACTGTAGAGAATGTCAATAGATTAAAGGGGGAAGTTTTCGGTATCCTAAATTGCATTAAGGTAGACAAATCCACAGGGCCAGATGGGATCTATCCCAGGTAACTGTGAGAGGCAAGGGAAGAAATAGCTGGGGCATTAGCAGATATCTTCACATCCTCGTTGACCACAGGCGAGGTTCTAGAGGACTGGAGATTAGCGAATGTTGTTCCCTTGTTTAAGAAAGGAGGCAGGGATAATCCAGAAAATTATAGGCTAGTGAGTCTGACATCTGTGGCAGGGAAGCTTTTGGAGGAGATACTGAAGGACAGGATATATGCACATTTGGAAGAAAATGGACTAGTTAGCGACAGGCAGCATGGTTTTTTACGGGAAATTCATGTCTCACCGACCTGATCAAATTTTTTGAAGAGGTGACAAAGATAATTGAGGGATGAGCTGTGGATGTAGTTTATATGGACTTCAGTAAGGTATTTGATAAAGTCACACATGGCAGATTCGTTCAAAAACTAAAATCACATGGGATTCAGGGTGGGCTGGCTAGATGGATACAAAACTGGCTTGGTCATAGAAGACAAAGGGTAGCGGTGGAAGGGTGTTTTTCAGATTGGGAGATTGGTAACTAGTGGTGTTCCACAGGAATCAGTCTTAGGTCCTCTGTAGCATAAAAAATGATCTGGAGGAAAATGTGGGTGGTCTGATTGGTAAGTTTGCAGATGATACCAAGATTGATGGAGTTGCTGATTGTGCCGACGATTGTGAAAGGATACAACAGGATGTAGATAGGTTGGCGACTTGGGCACTGAAATGGCAGATAGAGATTAATCCAGATAAATGCAAGGCGATGCATTTTGGAGGATCAAATTTAGGTGTGAACTATACTGTTAATGGCAGAATCCTTAGGAACATTAAAATACAACCTGATCTGGGTGTGCAGGCCCACAGTTCCCTAAAAGTGGCAAAACAGCTGGCCAAAAGTGATTAAGAAGGCATATGGCATGTTTGCCTTCATCGGCCAGGGCATGGAGTACAAGAGTTGGCAAACCATGTTGCAGCTATATAAAACCCTTGCTAGGCCGCATTTGGAGTATTGTGTGCAGTTTTGATCGCCGCATTACCAGAATAATTTGGAAGCTTGAGAGAGAGTGCAGAGAAAGTTCACCAGGATGTTGCCTGGTCTCTTGGGCATTGGCAATGAGGAAAGCTTAAAAAGGCTAGGATTGTTTTCACTGGAAGATGGCGGCTTAGAGGAGACCTGATAGAGGTCTACAAAGTTATGAGAGTCGTGGATAGTCAGAGGATTTTTCAATTTTCAGTTTCAATTACAAGGGCGCATAGGTTTAAAATGAAAAGGCAAAAGGTTAAGGGAGATGTGCGAGGGAAGTTTTTCACACTGAGAGTGGTAGGAGCCTGGAATGCACTGCCAGGGGAGATGGTGGAAGCGGGCACATTCGTGCCATTTAAAAGGCATCTGTATAATTACATGAATAAGAAGGGAATAGACGGATACTGATCGAATAAGGGCAGAAGGTTTGTTTTAATTTAGTCAGGGCATGGTGATCGGCACAGGCTTGAAGGGCCTGTACAGTGCCATACTTCTCCTTTGTTTTTTTTTGTTGTTAATGATCTGGACGTTGTTCAGTTTTCTTTCTTGGCATCTGATGGTGCAGGTCATGGTATTTTTCTGATTGCAGGCTCCAAAATACTTGGAATGTTTAATTCTGACAATTGATACTGGTAGGGAATCTCCAGACTTTCATCTGCTGACTTCCCTAAATGTGGCAACACAGGTGGCCAAGGTAATTAAGGAGGCATATGGTATCCTTGCCTTCATTGACCGGGGCATGGAGTACAAGACTTGGCAAACCTTGTTAGGCCACATTTCGGAGTATTGTGTGCAGTTTTGGTTGCCATGCTACCTGAAGGACATGGAAGCTTTCGAAACAGTACAGAGAAGTTGTTGCCTGATCTCGAGGGTATTGGTTATGAGGAAAGGTTAAAAAGACTAGGATTGATTTCACTGGAAAGACGGCGGCTGAGTGGAGACCTGATAGAGGTCTACAAAATTGAGAGGCATGGATAAGGTGGATACGCAGAGGCTTTTTTCCAGGTTTGAAGTTTCAATTACAAAAGAGCACAGGTTCAAGGTGAGAGCGGGAAAGTTTAAGGGAGAGGGAAGTTTTTCACACAGAATGGTAGGAGCTTGGAATGCATTGCCAGAAGAGGTGTTGGAAGTGGGCACGTTGGCGACATTTAAGAGGCACCTGTGTGGCTACATGAATAGGTAGGGAATAGAGTGATACGGACTGAATAAGAGCAGAAGGTTTGTTTTTCGGATTAGTTGGGGCATGATGATTGGCACAGGCTTGGAGGGCCAAAGGGCCTGTTCC